TGTTGAAATCATTAGTGCCAAACTTGACTAAATCAATTATTTATGGAATTGAATATCTCACAGAATGAAAAACTATGTTATTTTTTGTGTAGATATATTTATATGGAACCTCTATCATTGGCTATCTCAACTTTGTTATTTTTAGCAGAACTTAATGGACATTTATAATGCAAGCTGCATTTTGGCTTTGATTAGACTTGATTTTTAACTTAAAAATTTATTTGGTAAAATTAAAATATAATATTTGTTTGAAGGTTAAGCTCTAGTTTCAATTTATTTTAATTATGAATCATTCAATCAGGTCATTCATACAATATTAAATGCGCTTAAATCATCATTGACTTATAGGGAGGTTTTGCATTTTGTTATTTGCTTTATAAGACTTGCAGTGGGTAGCTTGTGCCAAAATTATATCAATCTAGAGAAGAAAAAAAAAGTCAATAGAAGAAAAAAGTTGTGGAAGAAGTAACAAAACACTTTGGGAGAAAATCCCTTATTTATTATCTAACTTTGTTTATTTATACATTTCTTTATTATTGGCCATAAAGATGAGTTAATATAAAGCCTGTTTAGCTCGAGATATTATAAAAGTTTCTTATTTTTGTTCTCTCTGTTATTCGACTTATATTAACAGCAATAAATTGGAATTGGAGGGAAAAATGAAGCTAATAAGAAGAAGAACGAGGAAAAAAAATTTAATTAACATTTCGTTTATTACACAGCGCGTGCTTTATCATTAGCACAAAATTCTTATAATAAGTTTTAGTATCCATAATGTGTAATATTCAAATCTATTCTTTCTTCTGATGATGATTATGAATCCAATGGAATTTTATTCTTATTGTAATTTACACACGATTTTCTCTCTCTTAAATCCATTTGAATCATTCCGTCCTATAATGATCACTTTCTAAAGCAAGCAATCGATTGAGCTTGAAAGAACGAACGATCGAGGTAAGAATAATTTGACCCACAATTATGAATTCTAGCTCCACTCTAATCTAATGACCCGTAACTCTTTCTATATCATTTCATTAAACGAGACCCAGAGAATGTATATTATGAATTCTATCTTTACAAACTAAAATGATATGTAATTTAACTAATTTTATTAATGACCGTGGCAATTTAAAAATAAAATTTCTTGAGCCTTTTTTTCTCATCTTGCTCCGCTATTCATCTCATTCTTTCTCAATTTTCAGTTGTTAATGTCGATGATGAAAATTAAAAGATGAATATTAAATACTCATTTTAACACTCATTTTCTAGTTTATTCGATTAAGACTCATGCTATGGGTATGAGAACCTTTAGCTATTAATAGCTCATAATATTCTTCTTGTGGTTTATGAATATGAATTATCGATATGTGAAATGATGAAGAATATTAAGAGAGGCATGTTTTCTTCTCCGTTGTCTTTGATGATTTTTTTTTATTTCCATTCTTAATTCTAATTTTTATTTTATTCATAAAAGCTATCAAAAATTTTATGTAAATTGTTAAGAAATTAATGTCCTTTCTGGGGAGATCGGTCTTTGAAGAAAATTTGTTTAAAATAAATTAAAAGTCAATTTTTTTTGGTGAGAAATAAAAGTGACTTTTTGATTACAACGACTTGTCTTCAGCTGCTCATAAATTTTCTTTTCAATTCTCCTTTTTTGTTTTGTTCGAAAATTTTTATATAAATTATCTACAAGGAAAATTACAAGGTGTAGATTTAAATATTACATGTTACATGAACTGAATATGTAATGATTGAAATCTAATATAGTCGAATTAATAGTTTTGATTGAAAAGAATAAGAGAGTAATTAGTGCTTATTATGTGTAATTAAGGTTATTGATTTTCATCATCATCTAAATAGCCTCTAGCAATTTCTATTGATAGCCATTAAGAATGTGAATGGACATGAAATTTTCAAACAAGCCACAGATCATGAAATAAATGTGTTTCATTTAAAATTAAACCCAAAATTATATTCTTTAAAATATTCAAATCTTATTCCTGATAAAAGCTGTAGAGTTTAAAACGAAATCATCCGAAATTTAACTTAATAACCAACCCCAGTATTATCAATGTAAAATTAGAATTGAATTTATTTCAATGATTTGTTAAATGCTCTCACTTTAAATACATGAAAGAATTTTAAACTTTAACTAAGTGTACTTGAGATGATTTTTTTTCTTTTTCATAAAATAGAGGAATTCAATTTATCCATAATACAATTAAAACACATATATACAGCATTCAACTTTAATTTCTATCATATAGACACACTACATTCACTCAGAAAATGATAAATTATTTCCCTTAATTGTCGATCGAGTGCACAAGAACCCTTCAGTGCTCGTAAATAAAAGACTTTTCAATAATTTTTCTTCTTCATACATATTTTTGCTGTTCAGGAAATCATGAGAGCAATCTTGTGTTTTATACTCGAATTACGTTTCAAGTGCTCTTCAATCTACACTCGGAATATTTTTTTTTGTTGCTTCTTTCTTCATTTTCTCAATTTCTACAACTTACGAGTTTAAGTAAAGGAAAGAGAATGAGATGGAAAAAAGGCGTTAAATGCATTTTTATCATTTCATATGAAAATAAAAATAACAAAAATACACAAAGAAAATTTATTGATGTTGGAATTAATCGTGTTTAAATTATTTTGCCACGAAAATTGAGAATTTCATGCAAAATTGGAGTATTGAAAGCATCATCAAAGCTGTGCATATAAAGCAAAGAAATAGTCATCATTGTTGCATGCCTTTGCGCCACCAACATTGAAAAAGGAATTAAAAAAAAATAACATTTGGTCGTCTTATTGTTGCTTTTATTATTGTTCATCTTCTTCTGGGAGATGAAGAATCCATAAGTCATATTTCTAATATTTCATTCCCAAAAAGAGCGAGCAATAAAAAATTAGTAAGAACTCCCGAATTTAAGGAGTGTCTTTTGCGCATTTTTTCAATTATTTTGAATAATCAATTGCAGTTCGAGAGCCTATCAGAAAGTTTCCAGTAATGATTTTTATCGATAAAAAAAAATAATTCTGAATTTGTGAATTTTTAAGAACATCTAGAACAAGCATAGGACATATTGACATCAATTAAAGAGACTTTCAGTATTTCCTTCGTTAAATTGTGTTAAGACTTTATTTTCTGTTTTTAGATTGCACATTTTAATGATCTTTTGCTCATTCGCTCTTCAGCATTTATGTACAAAATACAAAATATTTTTATGAGAACATACTTAATAATAATATTTAATAATAATAATTTTAAGAAAGACGTATGTCGACTTTTTCCTAATATAAATTTGAAAAGAAAGAAGTATGAAAAATATAAAAATAAGATTGAAAAATTTCTTCATCATAAATATGAGGAGCAGCAGCAGCAGCAGCAGTAGAAATTTAATGGCTGTAATACTAAACTGCATGTAATAAAAAAATGCGTTTACTAAGAAATTAAGTAATAATAAACAGTCGCGACTATATTATGACGATTATGACTTTATGACTGAAATTGAATACACATACACACAAAATCATTATAGCTCTATGAACGTAATGTAGAACTTTGAGGAGACGCAAGCAAAAGTTATTAAATTACATTGTTGCTTATTCATTTGCCTTGCGCGTCTTGTGATTTGCTTAGACAGAGCGGAGAGGATAAATGCAATTGATATGGATTAAATTGCAACAATGTTTACAAAACATCTATTTACTTCTGTTTATTGTACACAATTTGTTGTTTTTCTCTCAAATGTTCACTTACTCTCAATAATCGTTAAAGTATAAGGAATAAGAAGAAGAAGTAGTAAAACTTCATAAAAAAATTATTAAAGAGTTTGACTCGACTCCAATTAGTAATTGATTGTAATGATCGGATCATAAAAATCTTACGGATTAAGTGTGTACATAGTATCATGAATAAAGAGTGAGAATTTGAATTGAAAATAGATCCGGCATTAATACAATGACCTTCATATTAAAAAAAAATTTAATAGTCTTCTCTCATAAGAAATTGCATTTGATATTTATGCAAAATGCACAATTTTACGCCATGCCATGGAAGGAATTTAAAATTGTCAAAGCACATTTTATCGAATTGAAAATTCTATTTTGGATGAGCACAACAAACGATAAAAATTGATATTCAAACTACATCACTTTTAGAATGGACATTAGACATCACTGTATAACACACTAAGTCACATGTGATCTTTTATTTATGAAAAAAAAATTCAATTATTAATTCTGGCCACATCATTGTTCACAAAAAGAGTATTTTATCGTGCGTATTTACCTTAATTTTAAACGCTAATAATGCCACTGTCTGAAATCATCATGTTGTCTGCTGTATTATTAATTCAACGATGAATTCTTACATGACTTATGTGCTCTTTAGATTTATGAGGTTTTAAATGAGCAATATTCTATTATCGCTTATCAATGAATATTTCATAACTGTCTGTTTAGTCAAAATTTAGTGTCGAAATAAAATATAAATCAAAATAATATTTTTATTAATGACTTGTAATTGGTTTTGAGGAAGTTTTTGCCTTGGAATCACACCTATTATCTAGTCTGAGTCATCGATCCTGTCAATGTTAATGTCTTTTGTGAACTTTATATTTTATGAATCATCAAAGCAAGTAAGTCAAGTTCTAGAAGAATATCTTGCATCTTTTTCTTTCAGAAACTACATTAATAAATTTCTGATGAATTAAAACAAGATTACCTCACCAATGTCTACCTCATGGATTAACACAAATAGTTATTGTAAATTTAAAAATCAAAATCAGTGAAAACTGATTGAAATTTATTTATACTTTACAGACAACTTTAAGTCATTTGAGAATGCAAATCTTTAAAAAATTGCAAGTCAACAGACACCTACATTAAGAATGTCAATTGATTCACATAATTTTGTTCCAGAAAGTTGAATTTATCGTCGAATAATAACAACGAAACTAATCCATATTTATATTTTTAATAATTCACAGAGACCGCCAAGTTCATCACTTTCATATGGTGGTGCAATGAACGACGATGTAAGATCTCCAGGCTCAGGGAGCACGCCCGGACCACTTTCAGCACAACCTCCACCTGGATTAGGAGAAGATCCTGGTGAGTTTTACAGTACGTTTAAATCACACTTCTATCTTTTCAAAATTTTCACATTTAACTCTTTCATTTGATTCAATAATGACAATAAAAAAAGGCACTTCTCATGCAATAAAATGATTTATTTGCGATGAGAAGTGCTATAATTACTACCGTATGCGATTAATAAGAGATTTGACACAAATTATAGTGCGATGATATGAGAAATCTGCGCCCCAAAAATTCATGGAGTTGATTTATGACTCTACTTTTATTTATCTCTTCTCCATTCTGTTGATTCTGTTCTGTTTTTGTGACTCTTTTATTAGTATTATTATTAGAGCTTCCACATGAGAATTTTGATGATCAAGAGTAAAACTAAAACTTGTAGAGAAATGAGGAAAGAATAAAATTAATTTAAATTTTTGATTCAACGCGATTGCAGCAGTAACAATTCAATGATTCAAGGTCATTAAGCGCAAAAATATTAGTATTCACTCATAGTTTTGAGGGATATAAAAATAATAATGGTAATAATATCATCATTAAACATGCTGATGATGAAGAAATTTTCGAAGTGGCCGTGTATGTGCTACTATAAACATTGTTAAAATTTCTTAAGCAAACATAACAAACGAACAAGAGTAACAACAGCAACAATAATAAAATAATTTATTGTATTTAGATTAAAGCAATTTAATAGTTGTAAAAGTCACATTTAATAACATTTTGATATTTTTTTCATGAGCTAAACGACGCTTTTACGGCGCTTGATTTCAAATCATTTTGCCACCGATTGATTTATGTTTTTTGTTCTCCACGATTGCTGCCTTACCAAATATAAACATACAGACATACATATAGGCTGAGAACATACAAACAAGAAAAGAAATTATTCGTTTTGCGAAACATCTCTATCATTCTTTGGACATGGAATTCTTTTTTGTTTATTATTCTCACTTTTTTATGTAAATTTAATTTAAAAAATACTTTACATCTTACGTGTGAACTAATTTGGATTGCAAAAGGTATGAAGGCATTGACTATACCTTTTTTATTATTTATACACACATTTTTTGAGTGTTTTTGTTGAATTCTAATTGCTCATCTTAATGTAAATTAAAATGAAGAATTTACTCCACGTGTCTGTAAATGTTTCTATTATTATTGCTATATACTCATCATTATTATCAGTATTCCAGTCATTCGGAGTGCGGAGATTTTGGTAGAGAAGTAGAAACAAAAAAAAATTAAATTTTTAATTACTTCATAATGATAATTATGGCTATAAATGGCCACAATTTAGCATTTAACTTATAGATTGCCTTGCAACGCCTGTTTCATCTTCATCGTCTTCGCATGCTCTGTGTCGTTACGAACGGGAGGAGATAGCGACCTTTCACGATCAATTAAACTTTAAAGTGATAATTTTAAAGCACCACCATCGACAAAAAATATTGCAATTAGTAAATTATCACTTGAAAGGCGAAAGTAAAATAAATTTCAAGTATAATTGCTACTGGTGCGATGTTAGGCTCACTTCTTCTCATGTGGTGTCCAATTTTTATTTCAAAAAAAATTGCATACATAAATATGCAATTAGGAAATCATAAATCAGATTTCCATTTATTATTTGTCTGCCTTGTTTCATAAAATTGTTATTGATTCATAAATTTGAATAATTATAATTAAATTTTTTTTCTCTTCTTTCTGTTTTTTAATCTCTCCATTTCTCTCTCTCGTACATACTGATACTGCATTATTTAAAATTATCATTTTAATGAGAATTTTTTTTGTGAACCTGAAAAAAATCTCGACTCATTCGCTATAATATATTTTAATTTTTTTTTCGCTCGCTCGGCAGTATCAATGAATCGAATAATTGTTAATAAGAAATAATTGAAAAATCATTTCATTATCAATGCAAATGAAATGATAATATACATGAAATGCAATTTGCCAATAATGTTTTAAATATAAAAAATTTATAATGTTCGTTTATATGAGCAAATATACATCAAGTTTGTTTTCAATTTTTAAAATTTTTATTATTATCAAATGCAGTGATGCACATCAATGTGATCTTCTTCCGTAACACATGATGTTTCATGAACATTGCAAGCTAAAAGTTCAATTGAATCTGACATGATCTGCAGTCATGCAGACTTTGTTCTTGGAATTTCAATCAGAAAATAAACTTTTTTCATGGTTATGCTTGCATCAATATATAGATTGCAAGGGTTCGTTCACTTATGACGCCTAGCATCTAGAAAAAATGGACCGAATTCCCTTTAAAAATGAATACAGCAGTTTACAATTTGAACATCCAGTATGAATTACAGTCAAAAATCTATAGCACCAGTATAAATCTAAAATTCAAGAAAAAAAAATCCTGATGGCTCGCGATCATCATCAATCACTGATATTTTTTCAACTTATGCTCGATTGATTAAAATTATTAAACTCATTACAATTATTGCGATTAAATTAAACAACAGCTCGAAAAATTTTCAGCACATATTTCACTCGTGAACCTCGATTACTCTAGAATACTCTTAAAAAATGAGAGCTTCAATAAATCTTCTTAGCACGTTGTACGAGTTCATTGAATGAGTAAATATATTATCAATTTTTCAAAAAGCAAAAAAAAAATATGATGAGAGTCAGCAAAGAAAGTTATGCGATGTTTACAACCCTGTAGAATTTACGGTCGTTGAGAATTAAAAACACACATAATAAATATTATTTTAATCAATTTGTTTTAACGCTTAATCACTTTTTTATTGATTAGTGGAAAACTTTGTCCGTTTAATGTCGAGAAGTGTTAGGTTTACGGAGTCGCGTTTATCGGATTAAAAGCTAATGTGCTTCATACTAATATCGACAATGTGGTCAGTCGACTAAAATTAAAATGAAATTGACTTTGAGAAGTCGATTCTCCCCACAATCCATACGAAACAATTGATTGTTCTTTCCTTGATTAATTTCTGAGAATTGAAAAAAAGTTTCAATTAACGTAATTACAAATTATTTTCCACTGGAAATCTTTAGCAAACAAGCTATGTCATAAATTTAACTGATTTGAGACACATTTAAGCAGCAAAGTCATTTAAATGACGTTAAATTAACATCTTAATGTCTAATTTATCAATTAAATATTTAACTTTATTGCTTTCTGCTCTTTAAGTTTAACATTTCGTAGCATTGCTTATTACAGCTTTTAAGCAATTTTATTGATGAAACGAGCTTTGATGCTCCATTATCAAGCAATTTGTCTCTACACTTTTCACTGTTATAATTTCAAATCTATTCATTTGGATCAGTAACTTCAATAATTTATTTAACTTTCAAGTCAAAAAAAGACGCTTCATGCAGCAACTGCATTACACTTTTAATGAACTTCATTAAACTTTTTTTTAAAAAGAAACATTAAGAAGGATAATGGACTTAAAAAACTTTTTGCAGTCACGAAATCTCTCAAAACTGACAATGGAATTTAAATTTCGTACAACTGCAAAATGTCAAAATTGTAATGCATTATCGCTGCCATTAAAAAAGTGTATGACATACAACAAATAATTTCAAGAATAGTAGAATTTTTTTAACAAAATAAAGCTATAACAATAATTGATGTTGGTTCTATAGAACGTTCGAGTCAATGTGCGACAATTTCCAATATCGCAACCTCAGAAATGATAGATCACATTGTTCATAGTTATAGTGTTGATTTTTATGTACACATCATTCTTATTAATACACACATAACAGAAGGAACAAAACAAAAAAAATAGTCTCGATTTTGGCAGCTAAAAAACAAACTTTTCATGTCTACGCAAAAATATATAAATCATTTCATTTCATAAAAGGAACACAGAACAACAGAATAGTGAGGAGAGTGAGAGCAATAATAATAAGTATATGTGTGACTGGGGGGAGGGAAATTGATATAACTAAAAAAATCAAAAAATATAAAAAGAGTGAAAAGAACAATAAATGGCGGCACATAAACATGATACTTATATTCTCTTTTTTTTTGTGTATATGCGAAAAAAAACCTCATATGTGTCATTTTTTGTGCCGTTGTGATTTTTGCACAAGGCACATTTTATTATTCCCTGAAGTTTCGTGATATGTGGAAAAAATGTTTTGTATGTAAAAATTTTGAAGTGGAAAATGCATAATGGGAAGAAGTGAATGGGAAATAAAAAAAGATTTTTCGTTGTTGAGTGAATTTAATGCAGAGAAAATGTGAAGGAGAAGAATACTTACACATAATACGCATTTCAATATAGACATAAGTACATTTCTTTGTGTATACGGTTCTTCAAGCACCTTTGAGGCTTATAAAAGGCACATCAAATTCAGCCCAAAGGTGTAATTTTAACAGTGCAAAAAAGAGAGAGTGGAAGCATCTTATTTCCATTTTTCCATGCAACCCTTGGATAATCATTTTCATTTCTTCATTGGTAAATGAACATTGGATGAGACGAGAAGGAATGGAATGTTGTGAAATGTTTATGAAGATAGGAGGATAGAATTTTGATGAGAAAGGTGCTGGTTCCACCTGAATGTTGCTCTATTTTCTTTATTTGTGGTAGTTTAGAAGCAGTCGTGATCAAACTTTGTGATGTGACACATTTCAAACTACCAAATCTTATTTTAAGCATATCCTGGCATTTTTAATGTCAAAGACCATCTTTACTCCATCTCCACATTTAAACATATTTTAGTGTGTCTCAACGACCAACAGACTTGTCCAAGAGTTTCATAAATAAATATTTCATTGATGTCTAGAATGATCTTTAGAATACGCTATAATTGATGAGCCACAAACTCAAAATTTGCAAAACATTCACCCAGAAAAAGTAATTCAGTTGGCAACGTTTGATAACCCATCAACAATGAACGAATTCCCTTGTTGTTAACCTACAATTTTCTACAATTTCTTATCGGAGCAAAAAAAAATAAAGTTACATAATGTAAATGTACAATATAATAGAAAAATGAAGTCATGAGGAAAAAAC